CCAGTTCCTTCGCTGAAGCGTGTTCGGCTCGTCTCATATGTGACTACTTCCGTATATGTAGTTACCTCGTCCCATGCATAATCGCCTCGGCCGACACGTGGCATGGTGTGGACCACCTTTTACTGACACGTGGCTGGCGAGGTGGCAGGTCTAACACAGGCTCGTAACAGTACCTGACGAAAGAGACAACCTCATTAGGTTCAATCAAAAGAACGCAGATGAAGAACAATAACGTTGGTTGCAACTAGAGGCACCACTTGGCACCGGCCCTCGACCCGGCTTCCCCGGTTGTATAGTACCCATGTCCAACAAAACCAATGATGAAGCAACTGTTCTTCACTTGAATTTTCTTGATCTTGACAATAACAAAACAAAATACACTAAAGTTTGTTTTATATATAATAATTAAAGAGTCAATTGTGGTGGGTCTGACACATAAACAGGAGCAACAACACTTGGGAAAAGATAAAAGATTTTGATGAGGTGACCCCTATAGAGGGGCTTGCACCTCGCCAAATTTGCTCACGCGTTGATGCGAGAGTAAAGTGAACCGAACATTCATTCATTTGATTGCAACATTTGTAACATTACATGTTCCCTACTGGTAATACTTCCTCAAATGTTCGATATTTCAGGGGTAAGCGTTATCTTTCCATCCAGATCCCCAATTTTATAATTAACATGCCCGATTTCTGCAATAATGCTATACGACCCTTCCCAATTCGGCCCCAAAGTTCCTGTGCCAGGATCTTTAGTCGAAGGAAAAGTCTTACGGAGCACGAGGTCGTCAATGCGAAACACACTTTTCCTCACTTTAGCATTATAGTAACGCATCATCATATGCTGGTAAGAAGTGAGCATGACTTAAGAATCATCTCTTTTTTTCTCCAAGAAAATCCAGCTCAAGCTTCCTCAGTTCATCATTTGTTATTTCGTTGAAGTGGATACAACGAGGAAAAGGAATACCAACCTCTACCGGACTCATTGCCTCAGCCCCGTAAGTTATGGAAAAAGGAGTCTCCCCAGTGGCTGTTTTGCAAGTGGTCCTTATGGCCCATAGGACCTGGGGGAGCTCATCGACCAAGGCCCCTTTGGAGGTGTCCTGCTTCCATTTCAGGGTGAACTTGATGGTCTTGTTGACCGCCTCGACCTGGCCATTCATCTGGGATGATGAGGTGAAGAGAAATAGTTCCTGATTCCAAACTCATCACATAAGTCCCGGATATTCCTGTTATCGAACTGTTTGCCATTATCTGAGGCCAAGGAATGGGGTATACTGAACCTGCATATGACATTCTTCCAGAGAAATTTAGAAGTGTTGGCCTCAGTAATCTTGGCTAGAGGCTCCATTTCCACCCATTTGGTGAAGTAGTCAATAGTAACTATGGCGAAGCAAGCGCTTGCTCTTCCCTTTAGCAAGGGGCCAATGAAATCCACACCCCATTTGGCGAACGGCCAGGGACTGGACACAATCGTAAGTTCTTAAGATGGTTGGCTCTGCACATTGGAGAAGCGTTGGCACTTGTCACAATTGTGTACGAACTCTATGGAATCCCTTTTCAGGGTCTGCCAGTAATACCCTTACCTGAGTATCTTGTGTGCCAAGGCTGGTCCACCGGAGTGATTTCCACAAACGCCTCATGCACTTTTCTTAGGATGTAATTTGCTTCTTCTCTCCCTGTGCACCCGAGAAGGGGAGAGGAGAAACCTCGCTTATATAGGATATCATCTTGTAAAACGAAGCGAGTGGCTCTCCTTCGAAGCCTTCATGCTTCGGTTTCATCCTCCGGCAAGGTTTGTTCACTCAAGTAGGCCAGGATAGGTAGTATCCATGGTAGTGTGCTCTCAATCCACATTAGATCTTCACCCTTTTTGATAGAGGGTTCAGCCAGGTGCTCAATTGGCACCACTTTGAGTAGCTCCGAGTCTTTGCTGCTGGCCAGTTTTTATACAGCATCCACATAGAGATTCTCTTGGCGTGGCACTTGGATCAACTCGAACTTTTCGAAGTTAGGTAGGGAATTCATGACCAGCTTCAGAGAGGCTACCATATGCTTGTCTCTGGCCATGAAGCTTCCATTAACCTGATTTACCACCAACTGTGAATCACAGCTGATAATCAATCTTTTTACTTGCAATTCTTTGGTTAACCGAAGTCCGGCTAAGAGAGCCTTGTATTCAGCTACGTTATTGGAAGCCTTAAATCCGAGCCTTACAGCACAGTTAAGCTTGTGGGCCTCTAGGCTTTCCAACACAACGCCAACTCTGGAGCCCGTCTCTCCTGAGAAGCCATCAACAAAGAGATTCCAGGTGGGAGGCTCTGCTGGTTCCATTTTCATTTCAATTTTGGGGGCCTTAGTGAATTCTGCAACAAAATCAGCCAGGGCTTGACCCTTGATTGCTCTTCGAGGCGTGTACATTATGTCAAACTCGCTGAACTCAACATCCTATTTTAGTAGCCTTCCCGAGGCGTCTGGCTTCTGCAGGACATACCTCAACAGGAAATTCGTTAGGACGTGGATGCTATGGGTCTGGAAGTATGGCCTCAACTTTCGAGAAGCGGTGACCAATGAAAGAGCCAATTTCGTGCGGGGGCTGGTTCCTATTTCTAGGCGCCCTTCCGATCGATCAAAAATACTGGCAGACCTTTGGGGCTTCTTTTCAAACTCCGGAGGGAAATTATATTCTCTTGTAGGGGCTTTATCAGCCGGAGCGACTGTATAGTTGGAGGTATCCATTCCCACATCTCTTTCAGTGGGGGCTTTTCACTGGGTACTCAGGCGAGTTCTCCTGCTAGACTCAGCCTTAGTTCGCCCATGGGCTGATTGTTGGGGGTTTTGTGGGGCTTGAAAACCACCCTGATTTTGTACTTGTATGGGGAGCTCTTGCATAGCTGCATTCTGGGCTGCCATGGTCCTCAAGTTGGCAGCCATGTGGGCCACCTCGGCAGTTAAACGCTCGACAGTTCTACCACCTCTACGATAACGGTGTTGAGGTCGCTGCTGCGTAACATTTGTCCGGATGATCTCTTCTTCAGAGATATCCCTTGCTCTCCTTGCATTTACCTCTTCGTTGCTGGAACTCATGGTCCGAAGCGAGAGTGTTAATGTACAGATGATCCTTTTTGAGGAACCAATCCCTTTTTCAAGGGAGAATATCAACTGGATATTCAAGCAACTTTTTGGTGGGAAGACTTGTAGGTAAAGTAAGTTTCCCATAGACAGCGTCAATCTGTTGACCTCGAAAAATGGCTCTGATACGTGGCCAACAGAACAGGTCTTCAAGTCAGCTCTTCCCTGCACACGTAGGACACTGTTAGTCACTCGTAGCCTTTCCTTGAGGGTTGAGAACGATCGCAAGCACTTTGACGGTCAAGTCAGTTTAAGGTTCAACCGAAAAGGGTTCACCGACGGTGGAGCACTCACCTGGAAGTGGTTGATAAAATATATATTGATAAGTGCTAATACTTAAAGGAGGAAGATACTTAATTTCGCAATGTAGTAGAAAGATATATGTGACTCAAATGTGGGGGATTCCAATCCTTCTTCTGGCACAAAGAGGGGATATTTATACTAAGGATGGGAAGATGAGAGCTGTTGGATGAGGAAAGATGTGTTATCAGATTCTCAGGGCTTGTACCATCCTAGGTGTCAATCTATCCCTCCATAGGTTGGCTAGCAATGAATGTCTCTGACAAGAGCAGCTAATTTGACTGTTTGGGTCCTACCACACGTCCCATCAGTCAGAGATTTGACCTTGAAAAGATCTTTGTACAAGAGATCTTTGATGGGGCGAGGTGAGACGATGAGGCGTTGTAGAAGCGGAGTGCGGGCCTTTGCATCCATGGTATACTTGCGGATGAGTCTGGTTCCTTCGATGACACGTGATCATTTCATCCCGTATGTGACCACTTCGGTATATGTAGTCAGCTCGTCCCATGCATAATCGCCTCGGCCGACGTGTGGCTTGGAGTGGACCACATCTTTCTTACACGTGGCTGGTGAGGTGGCGAGTCTGACACAGGCCCGTAACAGTACCTGACGAAAGAGACAACCTCATTAGGTTCCATCAAAAGAACGTAGATGAAGAACAATAACGCTGGTTGCAACCAGGGACGCCACTTGGTGTCGGCCTCCCACCTGGCTTCCCCGATTGTATAATGCCCATGTCCAGCAAAACCAACGATGAAGCAACTGTTCTTCATTTGACTTTTCTTGATCTTAACAATAACAAAATACAATAAACTAATGTTTGTTTTATATATAATAATTAAAGAGTCAATTGCACGATTTCTTTTCCACCACTCCATTCAGTTCAAGATCTAAGTGGTTTCCCTCTCTTTTAATGTGGTGGGCAACTGGGCATGGTGTTTTCTTTACATCAAATTCTTGTTGTGTTTTGATATCCCGATGAAGATGAAGTCCTTATTTATATTTGGTTGTATTTTCAAGAAAAAAATTAGTGGAGCTAATGGAAAGTAAATAAAAAGGGTAGATTCAAATTCAAGTATTGGATAGAGAACTTATTTTTATTTGGTTCATAAAGTAAAGCTGCTCAAGTTGGAATTTGTGCCTCAATTAGAGCGATACCGGCTTTTATAACCAATGTCCTGTCCATTGTCGACTGCAAGTAGACCTCTCCAAGAGAGATCACCCCATCTACAATGCAGGTCATATCCTAAGAAGGATGTTTATTATAATACATAAACCCTAGTCGGTAGAAATTCAAATTCAAATTTTAATTTAAGTAAAAGTCAATAATTAATTTCAATTATTTTATGAGATCCACAACTTTTTAACTATACATTTCATCAACTTTTATCAAAATTTACTAAAAATTTGATATTAATCCCAACCAAACATAGGCGTAATGTTATTTCCACATTGGGTAAAACTCAACACTTAAATGGACGTCAAGGGAGGCCAAAGTCGTTATAAGCCACAAGTCAAGCCCTAACTTGGTGACTTGGGACACGATTACAGACATCGTAGAAAGAACGACTATGCATGTACCAAAAGGAGGAGGAAGGAGGAGTAAAGAAGAATAATCACTGTTTCTTGATCTCCTAGTTTCTGCATGTGTGTGGAATCCGATTGCCTTCTGGCGTCATCTTCAAATGCATTTGTTGGCCTAAACAGATGCTCAAATATAACCATGATAATAAACATTAATATCACGATTAATGTCGCAACAAACCCGAAAGAAATTGCATTCGTAGATGAGTTAAAATTGTTCCATAAACTTTCCCTGTTATCTTCAGTTTGAGCTGTACCGGGATCTGAACTTGTATAGATGTCCCCTTCCTTTGTTTTGTCTGAATTGGACATGCTCATACCTACTATGTGGCTTAGTTTTTGGCCCCGGACCTGGGGTCGGGAGAACTCTTACGAGTTGTTTGTTTTCTGTTAATCAATTGATATTAGGTCATTCTATGCTCGACTTTTATTGAAGTTGGTTCGTTAGAGACACGTATTTCTTCTTTTCATTTGCAGCGATTATTGAGTCCTACTAAGAGAAAAGTGTTGGGCAGTTGAAATAATTTCGAAGTGCAGATATCTATGGACTATGGGATTGTCCTGGACGAAATACTGGACACAGTATTGTGGAGTCTACCTTATCAAACAAACCATAAAAGTGAAAACGAAAAAGTGTTTTTAACAAATTTGGTTCAGTAATAACATAATCTAACATCTCTTGAATAATCAAAAGTCCCTAGCAGATGAAACAAAAAGAAATAAAAAGAAGCCTTTTTACAAAAGAAATTTGGGTTCCGGCTACATAAATCCTTTTTCACCACTATTCAATGAATTGCTAGGCCTATTTAAAGATCTAGAAGCTCATGGCCACGTTAGTTTGAGTCGACTCCTCCCTCTTCTTATATCCAACAATCTAAACAGAATTATGTACAAACTGAAGCAATTAGATAATTCCTAGAAATGGGATAGCAGAGACACACCTGCAAGGCTTTCATTAAAGCATAATTATCTTTGTTTTGGAGCAAATTCCTTTGATTTCAATGCATCTTGCCTTTTGTACTAAGAACAAGGCATTTGCATATATTCAAGCTTTATACAAGATATGCAAGTGCAACTCAGTCTAGATATATTCATATACAATAAAAAAGTAAGTGAAAGTTATATATAATAACCTTAGTGAGTACCTTTTTTTGTGCTTTGATGTTGATAATCTTGATTCATGCAAGTGCAACTCAGTCTAGATATATTTGCTGTATTTAGTCTTACAAAATGGGGCGGCCTCCCAGACATAAACTTTTGTTCCTATTAATGGGATTGAGGGTTAGGCGGCTGCCCAATTATAAGAAATTCCGCAAATTTTCCTTTCACTCTTTTTCTTTATCATTTCTTCCATCTTGGTCCTCTACATCAAATTATTTCAATGTTAGTGCTTCAACTTTTAGCAAATGCATATTAGTCCCCAAACTTCCATCAATTGACCTATTTATCTTTCTTTCTTTCTTTTCCAATTGCTTAGAATCTGATATAAGCTTTGTGAGACCGATATCCTTAAGATGAATACTACATAATTGAGGATGTTACTGTAAAACAAGTTGAAAGAAGGTGTACAACATCAATATAACAATGTCGTGTTTACTAAGAATCTAATTGGTTTAAATCAACGGTAAAGGATATACGCAGTTAACCTAGTGTATCTTAGCACTTCAAAACTGATCATTTTTATGCAATCACACACACTGAAGTACTGTATAGAATCCTTAGGCATTTTCACAATCAATTTTTGGTGTAAATGCACTTGATAATTTTGGTAGATTTGAGCTAATATCTCAAATTATCACTGCCCAAACCCGTGATTGTGTGACATGGGACACAACACCAGATGGATTCATCATTGGAAAGTTGAAATCATCCACTGGGTGAACCAATAGAAAGAAAGTCGCCAAATATATTTTCAAAACACCAAAGGCTGTATTAAGACTTTATTTTTCAGACCAGTACAATCGACAAGATTTTAGCTTCTATATTTTGTTAGTCGTATTAATAGATCTGCAATGAATCGAACAAAGTGGTGAAAATAATCATGTAGCCGATTCTAAATCATTGAGAAAAAGCCATAGTTTTCTCATATGATTATTTCTTTGTTAATCCTATCTAGTCTAGTTTTAGCACATCAAACATGCTATAAGTTTATTTTATACAACAGTTCAAAGATTGAGTTTTGGATTTATTTACAGCTACTGTTAAGATTTGTGGTTCCATCTTAAAAGGCCAACCTTATTAAGAGGAGTAACTCAATCTTTTATAAATTGGTTTATGTTTTACATCTTTATTCGATATGGAATCTATTCCTTAACATGCCCCCGCAAGGTGGTAGCTTGTTTAAGCAGACCAATTTTGAAATTTGTATGCTCACTTTGGAGTCTTAACCGGATCGAATTGCTCGTTAGAGTTTAATGAACTCTAATATCATGTTAAAATTTGATGGTCCATTTTGAAAGGTCAATCTTATTAAGAGGAGTAATTAAATCCTTTATAAGTTGTTTTATATTTTCATCTTTAATTGATATGCGATTGTATCCCTTAACAGCTACGTCAAACCTAAGGAGGCATGATTGAAGTAAATAAAGAAAGAAAAGAGTCTAAAGCAAAAAAAGATAAAGGGGGGCTAAAAAAGGAGGTGATATTATGCTAGTGTTAAATTTATTCCTTATCTATTCCCCACAAAAAACTATCCTAGAAACAAACCCACAACTTTTGTCTGAGAATGAAGGTTCACATAAATTTGATGACTAATAGACACAAAAAAACATCTATCTTGTTCATCATACCATCGAGTTCAACACTTCAAATGCCATTTCTTCCCCGCGTACATATATTGTAAAATAAACTTGATTTGGGCCATTTTATTGTTTTGGTTGGACTTGTTAATTAATGTAATTAAGTGAGTCGATGAGTCCACATCTAAAAGAGTTTATGTTATAAATAGTTGCTTTAGAATAATCCACTCTTTAAAATTGTTTTATGTCAGAGAGTATTTAGGGGATGTTAATAGGTCAAAATTCGTGCCTAATTGCTCTAAAAGGAGGTTGAATTAAATTAGGAAACCAAGTTTTCCTGTTGAAATAGTATGCGATCACAGTGTGTAGGGCTATGATTGCCCAGGCGACCTTTTGAGTCTACGTGTTCACAATTAAGCATTTGCGATGGCAAGGCACTAGGGTTTCTCTTGTTACACTTTGGTCCTTAAATTTTCTCTTTTGTTCAGCTACCGAGTCTATTTTTACTTGCATCGTTAGTCCTTCATCTTTAATTTTTCATAATTTAATACTTCACATTTCTCAATTGTCCATAATTGATGCGATGCAAGTTTTGATAGTTTGTAATTAAATTTTTGAACTTTTCAATAACGAATTCAACTCTCAAAACTTATGAATCTCCCTTGATTGGTATCTTAGTTCTTTCACTTGATCATATGCAATCTGATTGATCTTTAATTATTGTGAATAAACTCAACTTAAGCTCCAATTTCATCTTCTTCACGTCAATAGCATTGAAGTCAAGGTTTTACCTACAACTAACATATTTATACAACATTAGATAGATATCCGCTCAATTAATCAATAAATAGTCAAGTTTAAAAATTCAGATAAATGTTACAATAAACTCATCAGGTCTTATACGTTAAAACATTCAGTACTACATGGATACCGAATATGTCATGAAATCACTCTAACTCTATTCAGAACCTAGTTCTCATGAATTATTTGGGTCATTTACAGTCCTTGATGCTCAATATATTTGAGATTTATTAAATTATAAGGCTCAATATCCCAATGAATTAGGACTCGACTGAATTATACTATTTACATGAAAAATTTATTTGATTCTTCTTACTCAATAGAATTTTAGTAGTACCTTTTTTTTAAAAATCAAACTAAAATAAGTTTATTATTGAATCTTGACAAAACATAACCATGTCAGGGCTTTATGTCTTGGAGTCACCTCAAGAAAGAAAAATTATTTTTCTTTTAAGATCACTTTTAGAGGGAATGGCCCTTTGACAAGAAGGACTAAATACAGCAAATGTTTGAAAAATAATCAGATTAAATCATAATATTATATATGTGCTTCATATTATCAGTTTCGAATCGAACCACACGAATGGGAGAAATAGTCATGTTAATTAGAAGGGTAATTAGTACATAACGTCGACACCTTTCACTATTATTATGAATATGTCATCGTCTTTCATTTTTTGACATTTTTACTCTTATTTCTACATTTCATTGCGCAAAAAAGCATTTTCATTCATTTTCTCAATTAAAAATTGTGAAATGATGAATATATCATTCTCTTTAAAGAAAATGAAAAGAAAATGAAAAAGTTAATTGCGATCATAGTCCCAATTTTTTCAGAAAAGTGCAAACGAGTCTTAAATGAATGATTAAAAGGGTAATTAACACATAATGTCCCTATCTTTCACTATTATTGCGAAAAATGTTCTTACCTTTTTTTTTACATTTTCACACTTAATTACACCTTAAATAACGCAAACCATCATTTTTATCCATTTTCATCTAATTTCTTAATAAAGAGCTGTGAAATGATAAATGTACCTTCATGTTTAAATAAAAAAAGCTAAAGAATTAATTGCAATCGTAATCCCAATTTTTTTAAAAGCCCAAACGAGCCCCAAATAAATTATTAAAATATTAAAAATTATATATATTTATTTTAAAAAGTGTAAACAAGTCCCAAATAAATTATTAAAAAATTAGAAATTAATTTTTTTAAAAAAGTGCAAACGAGTCCCAATTAAATTTATTAAATTTTTAATAAATGAAAAAAATTAACAAATGCAAACGAGTCCCAAATAAATTATTAAAAATATTAGAAATTATAAAATAATTTTCTTTTTTTTTTCATTTTTATTTAAATAGGAGGGTATATTCTTTCATAACTCTTTATTGAGAAATTGGATGAAAATTGATAGAAATGATGGTTTACACAATCAAATGTGTAATTAAGGATGAAAAATATCAAAACAATGAAATGTATGAACGTTTTTCGCTATAATAGTGAAATGTAGAGACTTTATGTGCTAATTGCCCTTTTAATAATTTACTTGGGACTTATTTGAGGTTTTTTTAAAAATTGGGATTATGGTTACAGTTAATTTTCTCTTTTTATTTTTGTTTTATTTAAAAAGGAGTGTATATACATTATTTCACAATTTTTAATTGAAAAAATGTATGAAATTAACTTTTGTGCAATGGAATGTGAAAATAAGTATGAAAATATCAAAAAATGAAAATTAAAGAAAAGACGTTTTTCTCAATAATAGTGGAAAG